ACAGAGCAGGACAAGGCGAACATGCGTTTCGGCTTGGACTGGTTCACATCCATGGCCAAAGAAGACCGAGTCAAGCTACTGAGCACTCATGGTCTGAGACAGCCGAAGTTCAGGATTTTCGGGTATGGGGTTGGTTAGCTTCCAAGTAGGCGTTCAGGGCGTGGACACATATATCTCCAGAACCGAGGTTTATCATGGCGAAGCCTGAAAATTTTGAACGGCTCGCGCAGTGGCTGGATGAAGGCGTCCTCAAACAAACTTGCTCTTTTTATGCCTTCTGTAAACCAACCTTGTCACTGTGTCCAACGCCCCGACTGCTCGTAGTGACTCAGGTGCGACAGATTCCGACGTGGCGATCATGGAGCTTCAGCCTTTGACGGTCAAGACTGCAACGCTTGAAGATCTTGATCCACAAAAAGTGCTTCGCATGGCGCTTTTGGTTGCGAAGGAAGTGAATTGCATCAATACCGTTGTGCATCCACTGTTTCGCTCCCTCCTCAAAGATTTCCAAAAGGTCCTTCATGCAGCAGGCGACTCCGACTTGCGCGTGGAGTTGGCCAAAGCTTGCTTCATGGAAGCTTGCTCACAGAAAGCGGGCATCAAGGGGGTCATCATAGACTTCTCCACCGAGGCCTTGGCGGCTGAGGAGCACAAGGACGCGATTCAGAACATGAGCAAACTCTTGCCGCAGAGCTCTTCGGTGTCCGAGCATGGCCCAGCGCACAAGTTCCTTTGCGAGGTGGTCAGGGTCGCTAAGATGTAGCTATGCTTCTTGCCCTGTACGCCTGTTTTGTCGTGGGTTGTTCGGGCTTATGTCGTACACTCCGTGCTCCGACTGGTTGTAGGTAATGCAAGAACCTGATCAACAATCCTTGGTCCTTTACATAACCGCAAGCCCAAAAACAGAAACCCGAAACCCCCGTTCAACGTGAACAATTCAGCGAGTCACGATGATGCTAAATGTGGTGCTGAAGCTTGTAGTCTTGCGATCACCATCAAGTCGAGGATTTGGGTGATGATGCGTGATGTTGATAATGAGGGTGACGATGATGACGACGACGAAGGCGGCAGCGACATAAGAACTTGCTTCCTGTAGCTCAAACATGCTGCGTGTAGCTTATCCTAAGCCCTAAACCCTAAGCCCCTAAGCCCTACTTGGAGGTTCATGGCGCCGTTATACGTGGTGTTATAAGTCCCCTTATTTGGGTTATAACTATAGTTATCCTACTTATAGCCCATTTACATCGACCCATGAACCTCCAAGTAAACCCCTCAACCCTGAACTCTAAACCCCAAACCCTAAACGCCTAAACTAAACCCTAAGCCTTACTTGGAGGTTCATGGGGCAGATCTACGTGGTGTTACAAGTCCCCTGATATAGGTTATAACTATAGTTATCCTGCTTATAACCCTACGTACATCTACCCATGAACCTCCAAGTAAACCCCTCAACCCTGAACCCTAAACCCCAAACCCTAAACGCCTAAACTAAACCCTAAGCCTTACTTGGAGGTTCATGGGGCAGATCTACGTGGTGTTACAAGTCCCCTGATATAGGTTATAACTCTATAGTTATCCTGCTTATAACCCTACGTACATCTACCCATGAACCTCCAAGTAAACCCCTCAACCCTGAACCCTAAACCCCAAACCCTAAACGCCTAAACCCTAAGCCTTACTTGGAGGTTCATGGGGCAGTTTTACGTGGTGTTATAAGTCCTCTGATATTGGTTATAACTATAATTATCCTACTTATACCATGAACCTCCAAGTAAACCCCTAAACCCTGCACCCTAAACCCCAAATCCTAAACCCCTGAACCCCTACACCCTAAACTTTCCGAACTTGCTTCCTGTAGCTGAAACATGCTGTCTGTAGTTCGTGCTTATGTTTCCGCTGTAACTGTGAATGAGACCCTAGAACAAGAAAGAGGCCCCAGGATGCCAGGTCTCATCACACGTGTGCTGTTGCTTTGTTGGAGTAAATGGATGGTGGGACTAGAACAAAAGAGCAAGTCTCCCGCAAGAAGGAGCCCACCATCGCAGGTAGCGTGACAGCAGGATATGCTAGTTTCGGATGTAGGAAAAGGCTTCGACGTCTTATCACCGATTGAGGCGATTGGATTGTGGAGCTCCGCAGAGTTCCGCTGAACTAATTTTGTTTGCGGGTTGCATGCTTCTAAGGTTTGGATGTTTGACAGCTTCTGGTTTCTGTCGATCTTTCTCCGTAGGTGCGAGATGCAGCGTCTGTGCAGCTGCCTTCGCCCAAGAAAGAGTGCGACGAGAGTGCTCTTTCGCAGATGCCACCGACTAGCAGTGACATCCCCAACCTCACATCCGAAGCGATCGTTGTTGGCAGCAGTGTGATCGTGTCCGTGACCAAGAACAGAGCCAAGTACGATCAACGGAAAGGAGAAGTTGTGGCTGTTCTGACAAACGACTACAAGATCC